CCCCAAAACCCCAAAACCCCAAAACCCCAAAACCCCTCTCGATATTTTCAATGTGGAAATTAGCGAGAAATCTTAATGTTGAGACTCTTGGTGAAACCATCTTTGGCCATGGATTTATCCATTGGTTAGAGAAGAGTATCCTCAAGAGCCTCTATCTGGTGTCTATTATACTCTTTAGTATCAGCCTTTTGTTGGAAGGAAAGTAGTCCTAAATGGACTGCCAAGCTATAGTTTTGCTATTTTCGTTCAAAAATTTCTATAAAATATTGGAGTTAGTTAAACTTTGCAAGATGACTCAATTGTAGTGGAAACATACCAGCCTATCTGCTGACTTCCTAGAGTTTTATAATTGTTACCAACGTCAGTCAGATGGAAGAGTTCTTTAATTATTTGGGTGATCTGCACTAGCCTCCATTTTGAGATTAACAAATCTGACATTTTCTTCTCGTCAACTAAAAGTATCCGAAGATATGGAAAATAAGCATTTAGAGAGTTTGAGGGTCATCCAGAAATTTACCTCATTCATAACTGAGAATGTTGGGAGGATCTTTCTAAACTTTCTTTTCACAATTATAAAACTGGAGCTGGTTCTCCCAATAAGAATACTTAAATTTCTTAAAATACTCCATGGTGGTGTTTCATAATTAAAATTTATAAAATTTGCAATGTCTTTGTCACTAATTCTCAAAGATAAGAAATCTAGAATACTTAATCGGCAATTAGTTTTTCTTGCTTTTGTCAAATTTTAACGCTTATAAAAGCAGAATATGGGACGATTTGGGTTTGTTCCACTTCTTTAGTCTGATCTCAAAAGGTTCAGTTCTGGGAAGAAATAAAATACTACCAAATACATCGATGAATAGGAAAAGCTTGCTGTCCTTACTGCCCTTAACTATAACAGTCTTCTCTCACTTTCATGGCCAAAAAAAATGATTATATCTCTTCTAGCATCATCGTCTTACTCTCGGGCCATCACGTTGGATTGCTTCATCTTGCCAGGGCTAACTCTCAAGAGGCTGGAGCTTTAAACTTTTACAAAACAGCTCTCATATTTATCTGAAAACTTCCAAGTTTTAAGAGAGAAGCATGGTGCCACTTCTTTCTCAATTTCTCCATCTTTGATAAATTTATGAGTTTACTTTAACAATTAAAGTGAGCAAATAGCAAAATTCTACTAGAGAGGTGTCCATCGCTTACACAATAATATGCAAAAGTAGTGACAATGACTAGTTAAGTCAAGCTCAGCCTTAAAGCCTTAGTGCGTGCCAAGCTGCTACTGCTGGTCATCTCAGCCATATTGGTTAAACCTGGAATATTTTAATGAAAAACTTGCACAGGTTCAAATTAGCAAGAGCAGTCAGCAAGGAGGAGACTATGTTATGAAGAAGGAGAAGTTAATGCTTCTCACTATTCCATTCAGTTGGAATAAAAATTATCCACTAAAGACTTGCTTTATAAACAAGAAGTTCTGCAACGGTTGAAGAATAGGGAACTTCTAAGCTAGCTAGCACTGAAACCAGTGAAATGGGTAATTTTAAGATATTTTAGTCACCATTGAAAAGTTTCAAACCACTGATGCAAGTTATTCTTAGACTTTAGTGAAAAACACAAGAACTTATTTCATAATATTCTCCTTCAAACAGTGCAAATTCGAGCCAACAGCAAGTTGGCGATAACCTCGAAGCTTCTAAAATAAGCCTCTTCCCCTTAAAAGATGATTGAGCAAATAACCGAATGGTGTGGAGGACTGGAGGATTACTTCCTTTACTTAGTTTACCTAGCAATCACATTCTTGCACAATATTTGAGAAGTCCTAAATAGACAAACGAAAACTGTTAGACACTTGCTTGCTTAGATAAAACCAATAAAATCTCTAATTAGAGCAATGCTTTAGGATATTTTGTCAGATCTCTCTTTAAGAGATTTAATTGGAGTCTCCATTTTTGGTGAGATTCAAAAATTGTGAGCAATGTTTCACCTAAACTTCCACTCAGCCCAATGCTTTGAAGATGTCTCCACTAACGATGGTATAGAAATAATGCAATTTTACACAAATTTGTGATGAAAATGAGCATGGCCAGCTTGATAAGTTTGGTCTATAAGAGCCTAACTTACAATTCAGCTCGAAATGGCAGTATGCTTAGTCTTTCACTTATGCAAGACCAGTCCTAATTTTGGAATCATAGGTTCAGTAATGAAAATAAATCCACCTTAATTATTTTCAAGCCGTCGATTTGACCGTCAAGGCTTACAATCATTGATTTTGCTAAGTTTATATATCTGAGCAATAAAGCAGTGTGACTATTTTACGTGATCGGTTCTAGATAGGGTGATTGGAAGTCCCTAAAGCGCAAGCCTCTGTCTGATAAGACAATAAGCTTATGAAGACTCTAACAAAATGATTAGAAGCTAACGATGTAAGCAAGCAGATCTTCTTTATAGTGGATATAGTATTTCCTTCAAAGCTTTAGATATCGATTTTTCAAAACTTTCAATTTAAGAATTTGTTCTAAGAAAAACGAATGCTTATAAAAGTTTGACTTTATACTGCCACCAATGCATGGAGGACGTGGCTCATCACTTATTTGCTAACTTAATATTCATGAGAGATTTCTATATAACCCAAAGGTCTCCAAGTGTTATACAAGCAGTCATTGGAAATGATTCTTCAGAGATATTCAGAGTTAGCAACCCCAAATGAAGCTGAATTATTATGACACTAGTATGATGAACACAGGAACTTCCGGTGTTCATGAATATGGGATGCTCCAAGAACTCAAAGGAGATGCTCTTGGTTGCATTAAATCGAAGGAATCAGCTCCACTGAAGATTAATAACATTACCAAGAGTAGGACATACCACAGTCTTGAACCACCAGAAATTCAAATATTCCATTCACTGCCTCTCTAGCTGGCCAGAGAAGCAAGGTGGTATTTCAGTTGGAACTTTTAACAAAGACTTGGACTCGAGAAATTGCAGACTGGTGGGCGCTTCCTTCATCATACATCCAATGGAAAGGCTCTTCCTCATAGCACTTGCTTTTATAGATTTCCAGTTGCAAAGTTTGCTGGTGGGTGTTTTGGTAAACCCATAATTATTAACATATGCTTGAGTGGACTGACCAATTATTTAACTTGATAAAAGAAAGAGAGCAAGCCATTAAGCCAGACAGTCGATTAAACTTCATTTGGATCGCTCATGACTAAAATTTCTGCGTCTCTATCCAGGAATTTTGAAGTGTCTCGACCAATTCTTTTTCAAATTTCGCCAAAATTTTTTAAAGGATTTAATTTGGATAAAATATGGGAATGTGGTATATTAGAAATTATTTATTGGAGGTTAGAGATGAGAATGCTCAGATAAATAAATACTTTTTCCGAATTATTCCAGTCACATTCCACCTGAATTCACTACTATTAGTCTTATCAAGTAAGTAGGCTTAAATGGTGTAGAATTAATTCTTACCTAATAAACCCAAATGCCTAAATAAGTAAACCATAAAAGTTTGAATCGACTAAGTATTTTTTCTCCAAATTCCTTGGATCCATTTATTGAGTTAACTCATCAAAAATTTCTAGAGGGATGACACTTTGGAGATAACAACAATGAAAACTTCACAATCTCTGATAACAACAAAGAAATCAGACTAACTCAAAATATGGAGACGTAAGATATGCTAGAAGGGGCATAGCCTCCCTATTTGTCTAAACCCCAGTTTGGTAGAAGAATTCTGGCAATAAGGAGAGATTTTATTAATGACTATTCAGAGGTTTTATAATTAACACCGAAAGAAACTGCAAATGATTATTATTTAGGCTTTGAATAAATCTTCCCAAGAGATAATAGCCAGGAATGGAACCAAGACGTTTATTGAGAATTGTTAAAAGAATTAGAATACTTTGTGTCTGAACAGAGAAGCCTCGAACACTCCTTCGTTCTGGTTGAAGCTCTCCAGCATTTCAAAGACGTCTTCGGCTCTCCACGAAAAGTTGGTCGGAGCCATGTCATTGTGCAGCATCATCGAGTAGAAGTCGAAGGTGATGGCCGCATCGACTTCGAGAGGGTAGCTGCCCACGTAGGTCTTCTTGCCTCCAACCACAATCAGGGTCTGATAGTTCAACGAGTTCTTGGTCACTCCTGTAAACCTGGTTCTTCTCTTGCTGATTTTCTTGTTGCTCGAAATGGAAGCCTTCTTCTTGGCAAGCACGAAGGGGAGTCCAGTACCCAGTATGCAGAAGAGTTTCTGTTTGAGCTTCTCTTGGTGTCTCGAGAAGTCGTATTTGTGGATGGTTGTGATTTGTTTGTGACACTTGATTGGGACCTTCGAAGCAGCTGGCATTGGTGGAGGAACACGCTGCAACTGAATCTGAAGGTCACAAAGACAAAAGTCACTAAAAATATTGAACATATATTTTATTAATTATTACCAAAACCTTTCTATATTTATATGTTATCTCGGGGTTTTGGGGTTTTGGGGTTTTGGGG